ATTAGGATTACTATCAATAGGACTATGTGTAGTATGGTTTGTGTTTCGTCATGAAGACTGGGCATGGATGCTACAAGATGCTATGGGTATTACATTCAGTATAAATCTATTGAAGACAATACGATTGCCAAATTTTAAGGTGAGAATAATCGAGTATTCTATGAGCTTTAGTCATTTAAATGCTAATGTCAACTTTTGTTACATTTCAGAAAATAAACTGCTACAATTTTGTCTACATACATAGACAATATTTTACCAAGACAAAAGATATAGATATAGTATACATATCAAATCCTTAAATGCAATACCTTTCAAGACCAAAAAATGTTCAAACATATTAAATTATATTTGATTGTCAATATTGGATGTTTGCATAGGAAGAAAATGAATAGGATACAATTTTCTAGTGCTTGCAGGTCTTAATACATATTTTGCAAAACATTTGGACATCATGTAATGACATCGCTTTATATCATCTGATGATAGCATGTTAATCCATCGTGTTACATTATTTCTGTACTTGCATAGTTTTGTCGAAAAAATATAAGGTACAACAAGACGAGTCATATTACTCCTTTTGTATTAGTTGTTACTGTAAAATATATTTTAGCTAGATTTAATTGTTGCTGAGAAGACATTTTGGTTCTGTTGTATGGAGTTTATTTTCATTTATTTTTGATGAATTGAATGTAAAATTCAAATATAGGACGAAAGGTATATTCATTGTATTTTATTTTCACTGAATCATTCAGCAAAAATAAATTCTGAGTGGAAATAATGTACTTTACAGTAGTCATGGTTACAGTTTTGTTTATAGTTAATGATATTGTTTTTAACCTAATTTATTTTCTAATTTTTCTTTGCTTTATTTTTCAGATATGTTTCATTCTGCTGTGTGTATTGTTTCTGTATGATATTTTCTTTGTATTTATTACTCCATATTTCACTAAGGTGGGTTGATACATTAATTTATTATTATTATTATATCATTGTATAACCATTAGTTAAATGCTGTAATTTTGTAGTATTCCACAGGGTATCTGCATCATACCTCCTTAGGAAATTTGCATTCCAAATGTGGATTATGCAATATTTTCAGGATTGTGATTATGATTAAAAACAGTGTTTATAATATCGAGAAAGTTCCACTAATTTCAACCTTGGCTATATACACCAAATGAGATAATATGGATGGTATGTAACATTGAGATTATTATGAAGATACTACAGAGTATGTACTCCTATGGTATACCTCTGCCACAAGTTGGTTGATACTCACAATGAGATATATTCATGTATACTTGCAATATTCTTGCAAATAATAGATGTAATTTTGTATTGATAAAGCAAAACAAGTGACATCATTATTTGTGTCTTGTTACCCATTGCCTGACAGTTGTGTTATTTTGAGATAATTTGTTTCTATCTATAAGTAATTGTGAGATTTTATGTTTGATGTCCATAACTGATATTTTCTTTTTTTGACAGAGTGGTGAAAGTGTGATGGTGCAAGTTGCCACTGGAGGAGGTGGTGCCAAGGAACAGGTAAGAAAAACACAATTTTAAACTTCAAATTCAAATTCAATTTCACCTCTTTCATTTATAAATTATCAACACTTAAACTATTCAGTGGAAGGTTACTGCATAGAGTTGCATTCACATGTCTCTCTCCAGCATGTATGTAGTGAAATGTTATATTGGAATTCAACTATAACTGTCAACATCTGAGTGAGAGTGAATATTGCATTAAATTTGACAAGGTTTGCTCAGACTTAGTGGATACCGTACTTGAATAAAAGAGTTGTATTATAAATTGAGAAATGAGGAGTCTATCAGCCATTGAAGAAATAAATAAATTGCAGGTTTTAAAATACATCACAGACAAATCTCTAAGTTAATTTTTCCATGGTTAATTCTTGTTATCTGATAACGTTGTATGTATGCGATTTGGTAGCTTGATTCCTGAATATAATGAATATTCTATCATAAAAGAATTACCATTATGGTAATACTAGGTGTTACATATGCTGTGTTTTTGCACCACCAGATTCCAATAGTTGTGAAGGTACCAAGGTTTTCTAATTCACCGTACAAGATATGTGAAGGTGTGCAATATTCACTGTTAGGATTTGGTGATATCTTAGTACCAGGTAAGCTACCTTATTTAATTTCATGATATCAAACCCAGTCAAAATATATGAAGTGAAATATTATATACCTTTGTATAATTTGTATCATTTATTTTCTCCGCTGCTACAAAAAATTATTTTCATAAATTTCACTGGTTTTGGAGAAAAATGCTGAATAAATGTCTCATGACACTAGTTGCCATTATGACTAAATCTAATTTTGAGACAGCTAAGCTTCTGTATGTGTGTGGGTGAGGCGGGCAGGGCAGGGGTGTTTGTTTGCATTGCTTTTGGCTAAATGTCCTGAAATTGTTAAATCATCAAACTTTCTTGTTACAAAAATGTTTCTAAAATTGCACACAATGCAAAACACATCATGGCATAAATAAATGGTAGCTATATAAATAGTAGCAGTCAAAATAGCATTTTTGCTGTTTTAAAAGCACACAAAAAATGCAAACATT